ACAATGATATCGAATTTTATCTAGGTACTTATTTAGTGGGATATGGTATCATATGCACTTACATATACACGGAGAATTTTAGTAACTTAATTGATTAAGTATTTGAATTTTGATTTTGTTGATAAAGATTCAGTTTCTCATCTTGTAATAATCTCCTATTTTGATTTTTTTTGTATTCTCAATTATTTTTTAGAAAGAACAACAATAAAGTTATGATCATAGGGTCAATGATGAAGTCAGAATTTTCACTAATATATATGCATAAAAGAATATTTTGACCTAACTATGTATATATACACAATATAATTTTCCGTATCATTTGATACCACTCAAATACATATGGAGTACTATATAAAAACCTCTTTTAACTTTATATTTTTGGTTTTATTTTAATAAAATGTTCTTATAATCGTAAAAGTATTTTTAATATGATAACTTTACTGGTCACTTTTAAAATGTGTTAATTTTTTTAAAACTCTTTTCTTTGGCCAACTCCATATCATCTAATTAAATATCATCAAATAAAATGACATAGGCAATGTGCATATTTTATTTTTTTAAAAAAAATAACTCAATAGTCCACAAGTATGTTCGATTGAGTGATAGAGCACCAATATTATCAATCAAGACCATCTAGAATTTGAAATTAATAAATACTCCTAAATTGGTTTAATATTTCAATCAGTTTTGTTATGATTAAATATTCTGATATTTTTTTCATGTATATACAAAAAAAAAATTCTTCAGACGTGCAAGAATATATAGTATCGATTTTTCTATTCATAAAGATAGTATTTTCCTACACTAAATATGATTTGTGAGATTACATTGAATATATGATACGTTACAATGTAAATACAAAGTTTGGACAAAATTGCCCCTGTATTGTGGGGTAGGTGGGAGGTTAGATTCACACAATATGATTCTCTTAAAAGCTATATATACATAAATATTGGGGGTCTTTCCAAGTAATTAATTATTTTGTACAATTCTTTTTTAGTTCAAGGAAAAAATGTGGAGCTCAAATGTGGTGATAATAACAATTTTGGTTATAATAGAATGCATAGAAGTTGGTTTAAACACACTCAATAAAGCTGCTACTACTAGAGGAATGAGCAATTTTGTCTTCATTTTCTATGCCAATGCATTGGCTTTGTTCTTCCTTGTACCTTCTACTTTCATATATCATAGGTAATTAGTTTCTCCACAATCTATTATGATTTGATTTAACTGTGATAGATTTTAAAGTTGAAATTTGAAATTTAAAAAATCAAAGTTTTACTTGGATAACATTTGATTTGAAGTTTTGTTAAAAGATTTGATGGTCAGAATTAAAAATTGATCAAACTTCATAGTCAAACAATAAATTTTCAAAATCTATAGTAAAATACTAGTTAGGTATAATTTTATTATAATCAAGGATGAAGTTACCTAGAGTATTCATTATTTATTATTAGATCAATCGAATTCAGTAGTTTCGATTTAAATTTTGTACTTCTATTAAAAGTTCATTGATTTGTATTACAGAAAAGATTAGAATTCAAAACTCGTTATAAGATTTGAATCCTGACTTCGACTATGAATTTATTTTGGTTTGTAATTTTAATAACATTTTTGTACAACAGAATGAGGCCTTGCAGAAAACTCAATTTTTCTATATTCTCTAGGATGATTCTTATTGCTTTTCTCAGGTACTTGATCATGGAATTATTAATTTTTTAATTATTTTTTTTCATGTTATTGTTGGTTATTACACTTTATAATTATGGATTTAATTTTTTTTTTAGCTGCTCAGTCCAAATATTGTGGTACTTTGGGATAGGGTATAGTAATCCAATTCTGGCCTCAGCAATGACAGATGTTATTCCAGCTTTTACTTTCCTAATTGCTGTAATTGCAGGGTAAGTTATACATATTATTAGCATAATCTTATTTATTATTAGTTTGATTCTTTTCGATGTATCAAATTTCAAGTCAAATACATTTATATACATATTTTTTATTATCATATATATTGAAACAGAGAGAGAAGCAAACGAAAATAAGAGGAAAGTGAATAAGATTTGTCTACGTAATTCAGATACATGTGAATCACATGCACTAGATACACATGTATTTAGTGTGATTCACACGTATTTGGATTACGAAATATGTGAGTAGAATAGGAGAGTGACAAGCGAGATGGGAGGAAGATGAGTGAGATTTGTTTATGTATCTCAAATACATGTGAATCACACCATATACACATGTATTTGAGATACCAAATATGTGAGTAGGACAAGAGAGTACCGAGCGAGATGGGATGAAGGCAAGGGAGATGAGCGAGATTTATCTATATATCTTAGATACATGCAAATTTAAACACATCAAAATCTGATAAGAAAATTCATAATATTTCAAATTAGCGAGTATCTAAATAATCAACTCATATATTAATAAAATTTCAATAAATTACCTAAAATCACGTTATTTTCCTGTTTGTTACAAACTAACAATATATTTGTCAATGCAAGTAACTAAAATGGAAAATTCTCTAACCTTTTTCTTTTTGTATATATATGCTATATTCTTCTATGATGATATATTGCTTTGATTTTTTTAACAGGATGGAAAAGTTGGGATTAAAGTTGAAAAGCAGCCTGGCAAAGTTTATTGGGACAATAATATTAATAATTGGGGCATTGCTTATGACTTTTTATATAGGCCCTCCAATTTTTTCAAATCAATCAATTACACCCCTTAATAATTTTCATCAACTTCAAATCAGTACAAAATCAAATTGGATCCTTGGAGGATTTCTCCTTGCTACTGCTAATTTGCTACTTGCAATCTTGTACATAGTCCAGGTATATATATATATATATATAGTATTCGTTGAAAATATAATTAAGCTAATAAAAATATTCGCGCTGAAATTATATTGTTTTATTGTATGATCAGGCATGGACTATAAATGATTATCCAGAAGAATTTGTGGTGACCACAGTTACTTGTGGATTAGTAACAATTATTTCAGGTGTGGTTGGATTAATTGCTGAACAAAATTTGAGTTCTTGGAGACTTAAACCAGATTTAGAGTTGATTACTGTTTGTTATGCTGTAAGTATACAACAAAATAATTTAATTTATTCGCGTTTGATATTTATTAATATAGTTAGATTAACATAGATATATGAAATATCGAGTGTTACAAGAATATCAGGGTTGGAGAAAAGGAAATAACTATATGATAAGCAATCAAACTCTTGCCAGCGAGGTGAAAGTTGACACAGTTAGCCACTAATCATATTTTTTTGAAAAAATTATAACTAGACATACTTCATTATCATATATTATTGTATTACACATAATTTTGATTTCATGTATCTCAAAATGCATGTAACGAGACATATCTCAACGTATTTGAATACACCAAAATCTGATATGATACGTAATATTACAAGCTAAGGTGTGTGTAAGTAATCACCTCCTAAACTAGTGAGATTTATGTAAGTTTTTTACCTTTTTTTTAATTGCAGGCAATTTTGATGATTGTTCTTAGAAGTTTAGTTTTTATTTGGGCATTGAAGAAGAAAGGACCTGTTTTTGTTGTAATGATAAAGCCACTTGGAATGATAGTTGCAGTCATAATGGGGGTCATTTTTCTTGGTGATGTTCTTCATGTTGGAAAGTTAGTAATTAAATTAATTACTCCATTCCTTCTTTTAATCTTTAATTAATTATAAAATGGCTAATTTCTCTATGATTATTTTTAATTTTTTTTTTTTGCAGTATAATTGGTGGAATGATCATAGCTTTGGGGTTCTATAGTGTGATGTGGGGAAAATCTAAAGAGGAAATGTGTGTTGAAGACATAACCAAGGATTCTACAAGAGTATCTCTACTACATAGGCAAAGTGATAATAATGCATGAGTGTTTTTTTTATATTTAAATCGTATTTATTTTTATTTCTAAGAGATTAGTGTAACTGGTAAGCGAATGCGTACATATCATTCCCTTCAATTTTATTTGAATGATTACAGATATTCGATATGTTATTATTATTTACAGTTACAATGAAATGAGATATTATATGAGTATATGTGATAATATCAAATTAGAAAAAGAAAATCATTTTTGACACATAAACTAATAAAAATATAACATTAAAAAAATTATTTTTGACATAAAAAAGAATTATGTTTAATATCAATTTTGAGTTCTAAATATAACGATATAACTTCACAGAAGATAGGCCTTGATGGTTTAGCAAATTGCTTTCGTCTTTAATTAAGCATGTTTAGTTCAATAATTTTCTTCCTCATCAATGATTAAAGCCTTAAACCAAACTGTGTCAACAATCTTATTTTAATCATATTACTTTATTTTCTAGTGAAATGAATATATAAAATACTCACCTGTCTCACCAATAATTTTCTTTTATTTTTTTCCCACTATTATATAGTTTTATGAACTCTTATCTAATTAACTCCTTGAATAATATTTGATTAAAATGAATAGAAATACTTCCTCTGTTCAATAATACTAGTAAATTATTAATTTTGCACACATTTTTTAAAAATTATAAATAAAATGATAATTTTATCTTATCACTCTTCAAATATAATAAATACAATGTCTTGAAAAATATGAATGAAAAATGACTATAACTAATGATACGGGTAAATAAGGTACTAAATGCAAAATTATTCATTGATTTCATAAAGTGAACGAGTATTGTTAGACATATCAAAACAATATACTGGACAACTATTATTGGACGAAGAGAATAGTATTTAAAGTGGAAAAACAAAGATATAAGTAGTTGTTTCTAATATAAATTGCACTTGATAATTTTATTTTTTGTGAATAACATTAGTAAGTTACTTCTCAAAAAAAAAAAAAACTATATTTGCAAATACCAATAGTCAAACTTCAACTTGACAATAAATAAATAAAAAGGTTCTATCAATGTGGGGCTAAAATAATTAATTAAAACAATATCTTGATTATAAAAAATACACAAAAAGGCAAAAAAGGGTGGGGAAAAATCTTGCTAAATCATCTCCAACAAAATTAAGAAAAATGAAAGGATCATCATGGAAGCAGATGTTGATGCCTAGTGTAGGAATGGTTATTACAATAATAGCCATAGTTACAAGTATGATAATTAGCAAAATAGCCATGTCTAAAGGACTTAGTAGCTTCATCATTGTTGTCTACTCAAATGCTGTTGCTACTCTCATACTTTTTCCTCCTTCCATCTTCATCTTTATAACAAGGTTCTTAATTCTCTTTCATCTTCATTATTCTTCAATTCTTCATCTATTGATCGGAGTAAAGGCAGAGTCAGGATTATAAATTTTTAAAAAATAGCTTATTAAGTTCTTGATCAATTATATATAGTATAGGTTAAGTGATTTTTTAATATAAATACATGGATCATAGTTGCTCAAGTCAAATTGTAGCTCTATATTGTTGTTGGAACATCATTATTGTTTTGGACTTATAAAAAAATATATCAAAGTTGTTGAGTAAAGATTGTGGATTAATTAACATATAATCACTTACAAAACATATATAAGAAGAAAAATAACACAAGAATTTAACGTGATCGGACTAAGCCTTTTACCATGACTAATTTTCCTTTTTATTTCTTTTTTTTTTTAATTTGTAGATCAAGGAGTCATCCATTGACCTTCTCTGCTATTTGGAGAATCTTGATGCTCGCTTTAAATGGGTAATTGGTATTATTCCCTCCGTCCTTTTTTAGTTTTTATATTTCTTTTTTTCGAGAGTTAATTTTAATTAATTTTGAAAAGTAAATTAAATTACATTAATAAAAAAATTTAAAATAAAATTTCAGATATTCAAAAACTATACAAAAAAATATTATAAATTACAAAACTATACATAACCAAAAAAAAAAGGGAGGAATACTATTAAGTAGATCAAATGTTTTTTAATGACTTATCATATAAGTTCTATTTAAGTTAAAAAAGTTGTTCTATTTTAAGACTAAAATTAGTATTTTTTGTGCAAATTTATGACTCATTTTCTATATTCAGTAAATTGTTTAATTTTAATATGTTTATTTTATTCTTAATAAAATAATATAATCATACAACTATCTATGTCAGTGTCAAGTCAAACTACATCACATATACTGAAATAACGAGAGTAGTAATTAATTTCTTAAAAGGAAGAATGGTTGTTTGATGTGTTGAACAATAGGTGTTTTGGGCAAATATGTGATTATGTTGGTATAAGTTATAGCTCTCCAACACTTGCCACAGCAATGCTCAATCTTATTCCAGGTTTTACTTTCATCCTTGCCATTACTTTCAGGTATTTCTCCCTCTTGGCTTAATTTGTCAAGTTTAAACACACATATGTTTGAGGAAAAAAACGCGATTATTATGAAAAGTCATTTCTTAAGTTCTATAAATAAGAATTTTCTAAAAGTAGCCTAAGAAAAATCTAAAGGTATATATATCAGGGTTTTATATAACCCGAAGGAAATTGCTTGTGTTTTTCCCTATACAATATCTCTTTAAAAAAAGTGATTCTTCACGCCTCAAAACCATATTCTTCTTTAATTGTATTTCTTATTATTTTTCTAACAACATGTACTTTTAATAAATTATTGAACTATAGTAAGTTCCACTGTAATTATTCTATGGAGTAAGTGAATTAGATATGTTGATTTATTGCCACTTTCATATAGGATGGAAGTGATCAATTGGAAAAGTTGGAGTAGCTATGCCAAAGCCTTTGGGACATTTGTTTCAATTGGAGGTGCATTTGTTTTGACATTTTATAAGGGCCCTCCAATCATTAACCAACACTTAACTTCTACTTTCTCATCTCAACAAAATTGGATCCTTGGAGGAGTTATACTTGCTTGTGAGTCTATGTCCACTTCACTATGGTACATTATTCAGGTCTGTCTGTTTGGTACGACGAAAATAATTTTTTACTTTTAAAAATGTATTTTTGTCAACGAAACACTAGGAAATGACTTTTGATGACTTTTAAAAATGCATATTTTATCAACGAAACATCAGAAAATGACTTTTGGCCGTGTGTGATTAATTAACTATGATATTTTTTTTTTTAATTTTTTGTTTTTTAGGCTTCAATTCTTAAGATATACCAAGAAGAGATGGTGATAGTGTGTTTGTATTGCTTCTTTGTGACCATCATATCTACATTAATATCCCTAGTGGTGGAGAGAAATACAAATGCTTGGATCATATATCTAGACATTCGTCTCATTGCTATTCTCTACTCGGTAATACTAACAACTAAACACACATTCATTTTCTTTTTGACTCGAATCTATAAAAAAGTTAAATTAGTTCACGAAAATATGACTAGTCTATGTTATTTTATGATTGGATGTGTTAATGACTCACTTATATTAAGTCAAATTCATCTAATAGATTGGGTTGATTTGAAGTACATGTATTGATTTATGAGAAAAATTGTCAAAATATTTTAAGTTGTTATTTGATATATGTTATTATAATTATACTTTATTTAAGACAATTAACTTACATTAGAATTTGTTCATTCAGGGTATAATTGGTATAGCATTTAGGAGTTGTATGACAACATGGTGCCTCAAGAAGACAGATCCTCTCTTTGTTTCAATGTTTAAGCCCTTTGCCATTGTTTTTGCTATCCTCATTGGTACCTTTTGCTTTAGAGATGCTTTCTACTTAGGAAGGTATGTATTATTAACTATTATAAATTTGAGATAAGTATTTAAAATACCTCTAAATTTGGTGTGAATTATTAGTTTTCATCTTTGAAATATTGTCTGTCTGAAAAACATTCCTTCACTTTACTAATTGAACTTAAATAAATAAACTTCTTATCTTGTCATATTGGTAAAACATGCCTCTAAATTCTTGACAAGTTTAAAGGTGTTTTCAACATTTCTCTCGGCGTTTTATTTGAAGTCTCACGTTCCTATAAGAGTTTGAGATCATTTCTCAAGGCAAATCGAGAGTGTTTTTATATTCAATTAGTCAAGTAGAGAGATTTTTTAAAGGCTGTTAATAGTTCGGTATGAACCACACCAAGTTCATTCAGGAGTGTTTTCAATACGTTAAACTTCACGGCATGTTTTAATATTAATATTCTAATCATTTTAAAAGTTTCTATATTCAATAAAAAATTATCGATATGTTACGTAAAATGAAATGAATCTAGGGGTAAAATAAACATTTAAGATATGATATGTGTACTAATATAGACATTTGTTTGCAGTTTGGTGGGATCAGTGACCACAGTGATTGGGTTTTATGCTGTGATGTGGGGAAAAACTCAAGAAAAATACTATGAGGGGAACAACTTAGAAACACTTGCTGAAAATAATGTCCCTCTGCTGCAAAATGAGGCATAAATACGGTGTTTGAGTCAGCTCGTGTGCGCCTCAATTAATTTTATGTGATATTTATTATCTTTCATTAAACAACACAAATACTGAATCAATTCATTTCGAGGAAAGAAATAATTGTATGTTAGTTGTAAAGATAGTGTTTTAAATTTATACTCATGTATTATATCGATAAAAATAAATATATAAAAATCATTTAACCAAGTTACTAATTTTCTCGGGAAAACGTGTAAAAAAACATGACAAACTAAAATGAAACAAAATAGTATATCATAACCTTGAGAAATAACTGAGCATAATATGACCTCTGGACATACTTCTAATAACACTACCTAACTATGTTTTGTAGATTGTAAAATATTATTTAACCAATTATTGTTTCAATAGGATGTCTATATAATTTAAAAACTCAATAATTTTTATATCCATATAACAAACCACATTTAAAAAAAAAAATACAATAGCTTTTTCTTAAATGAATATATTAGTGCAAGTGATAAACACCACCCACCCACTATGTTCATTCAGTATAAATTAAAATAAAGGAATACCACCCATGCTGGTACGTTAGAAATAAGTAAAATAAAGAAACTAATCATAATAAAATTTAAAATATATTGTAGATCCATTGTTAATTTCAATAAATACTGACAAAAAGACAAATCAAGAATATATTAGTGTTCTAAAAATAGACAATTAAAATATTGTTATGAATCGATATATGTTCCTTTTAATACAATTTGATTACTTCGAGGAATCTCATTAATTTAGATTCACGTTCAGAAAAATTCAAACATGTCCATTGGTTTTTAGAACAACTTTGTAAATATATCTTTGATATGAAAATCGAAAAAGTTTCAAATTCATAAATTTATTTTAATTGATTAAAAGAAATTTCGATTCAAAAGAGATGGAAATGAGTGGAGTGGTTCCATTTATAGCTATGATTGTTCAGCAATTAGCACAAGTTGGATTAGCTGTGGTAGCTAAAGGGGCTATGTCAACTGGGATGACTACTTTCACTTACACTTTCTATTCAAGTGCTTTTTCAACCCTACTTCTTATTCCAATTTCATTCTTCCTCCATAGGTACGTAAGTCGATTCATGATTTGATTTGATTTGATTTGATTTGAGTGACGGAAGAAACAATGATCATAGTTGATTTGATTTGTAACTATATGTTGATAATGAAAAGACCTGATTTTTGCTTTTAACGTATTATCTCAGGTTTGAACTTAAATTTTTTTTAAAAAATCAAAATGATTTTAAATAGTTTTGTTGATTTTTGAAAAAATTATGAATTGAAGTGTGCTCTTTTTGATATATGAAATTTATGTTCAAATACTAGCTTATCTGGAGTGGATTTGATTGTTGAAATTTGAAAAATAAAATTATTATTTTCTTGACCAAAATAATATGAAATTTTAGCCAATTTTAATGTGTCTCTATATATGGTGTAAGACTGTAACTTATACATACTAAATTATGAAATTTTAGCCAATTTCAATGTGTCTCTATTGCGTATGACTGAAACTCATACATATAGAAAATAAAAATCATAAAATTAAGTGATTTTATTGATACAAAATAAAGTTTATGACTTTGTGAGATAAATTTTTATAGTTGAGTGATTTTTTGTGATATAAACTCTGCTTTCTTTGATGATTCGAATCCGTATTCTTAGAATTGGATGTGAAGCATGCTTACCATTTGAGCATATGAGTGAATTCATATGCAAAATACGAGGCATGTGAGTTCTTGGTCTCACCGTAAAACTAGATATTTTATGTATATATACTTTTTTTTTCTGAAATGCAGGTCAGCTATTCCACCTCTTTGGCCTACTTTTCTCTATGGATTTTTCTTGCTTGGCATATTGGGGTATGTAAATGTAAATTCGTGGCTCAATTTAGCAATCAATTTTAGAGAAAAAAATGACTAATAACAGTGCAATTATATAGTTTTTTGATGCAAGTGCTTGGATTACTTGGACTTCAATATTCCTCTCCATTACTTTCCACAGCAATACTGCAATTATGTCCAGGATTCACTTTCATTCTTGCTGTCATTCTCAGGTTTAATATTAAATCACCTTTAATTTCTTTTGAACATATATTATTCCTTTCCTTCTTTTTTACTTGTCAGTATTTTTTTTAATAGAATCAGAAGATATGTATAGTACATAAATATGCCCTTTAGGCTTTAACTTGCCTCAACTGGCATATATACCCTCCAACTTTGAGTTGCACAAATAACTGTTAAACTATGCAAAAGTTGAACAAGTGAATACACGTGTCCTATGTGGCATTCTATGTAGCAATTGTTCCTCCTACTTGTGATATGTCACGTAGGACGCATATGTGTTCTTGTTTAACTTTTGGATAGTTTAAGTGTTCGTTTGTGCACATTCAAAGTTGGAGAGCATAGATGCATGCCGATGCTAAGTTAAAAAGGACATTTTTATGCGTTATACTCAATTTAAAATGCATCTTTTTCATCATACTGATAGATAATTTAAAAAAATATAACTGATAGTTCTTTTCATATAGTTATTGAAAATTTAATGTTTTCGAATTTAGCTTGAAAAGTTAGCTAAATTAAATTTCGAAAAGAAAAAATATGACAACTAAAAAGGAAAGGAGGTGTCAAAATTGTATCTAAATATATATTCAACTTTTGTCTTCACTAATTTTTTATTTTTCTTTAAAATCAGGATGGAAACTTTTGAATACAAAAGTTTGAGCACAATGGCTAAAACTATTGGAACTTTGGTAGCAATAATAGGTGCATTTGTTGCAACTTTATATAAAGGCCCTCAAGTTTTTGGAATTAATCCTTTAAATACAATATTAACAACCCCTTCTGCTTGGGCCATTGGAGGTTTACTCACTATGATTTGCTCTATAATTGCTTCTCTATTTATCATTTCACAGGTAATTACAATTGTCAACAAATTACTGTCTCTCTGTCTCATTTTACGTGACACGGTTAGAATTTCGATATTCAAACGTTTAAACTTTGTCCGTTAATTCAGACATAAGCTTTAGGTATCATAAATCACAAAATCAACAACTTAAATTATTTTAGTGAAAGAAACTTGATTGACTCTCGAAATTCCAACCGTATCACGTAAATTGGAAACTATTTTTCATCAATCATGATCTGTTTTTCCTCTGTTTCATGTGTTTGCAGGCATTTGTCCTTAAGAAATATCCAGCAGAGTTGATTTTAATGTTGTTTTATAGCTGCTGTGTTACAATATTATGTGCTGTTTTCTCTTTGATTGTTGAAAGAGATTTGAATTCTTGGAGTTTAAGCCCTCACAGCAGATTAATGGCCGTCGTATACTCGGTAACTAAGTCGATACGTATAAGTTTAATATATCTGAAAGACGGATTCATGATTTAAACTTGATAAGTTCGATATTTGAAGGTTTTTATGACGCGTTATACTTTGAAATAATGCAGGGTTTATTTGGAAATGTATTCCAAGTTTGTATAGGTTCATGGTGTGTGAGGAGAAAAGGACCTCTCTTTGTTGTTATGTTTCATCCATTAGGCATTGTTATTGCTATGGCTGCTAGCATATTTATGGGTGAAATTATTCATGTGGGAAGGTAAATCATACATGTTTAAGGTTCATTTACTTTCTATTTATATTTGTTTTTTTATATTTTACGAGTCTCTACTGTATATAAGTTAAGAGATTGGGATTCAGAATATTTTTTTTATTTGTTTTGTAGTTTGGTGGGATCAATCATCATTGTGATTGGATTTTATTCAGTAATGTGGGGACAAAGTAAAGAATGGACAAAGAAAGAGAAGAACTTGAGATCAAACAACAACAAGATTCCATTTTTACAAGACAAAAATGATGATGATCCTGAGGTTTAACATATGAGATGATCTTTTAAAGGGCTAACACTTTGCTAGTGGGCTTAGTGAAAGTTCTTTTGGGTTGACATGTTTATGAACAACTACATTGTATCTCTTGAATATTCATTTTGTTCCTACCTTGTTTTAATCAATAATTTTCCGTGTAACATAAGTTTATATTTTCATGTTATGATATATAGGTGATGTTCGAGCATAACTTAGTTTGTAAAGAACTTATGTCCCACTAAGTACCCATTTTATTCGTAAAGGGCAAAAATTATAGAGTAATCTATTTGAAAGATAAAAATTAAAGATCAATTCATTTAAAGGATAAAAGCTTTCATTTTTCTTCAAAAGATTTCATACCTCAAATGTAGCAAATAGATTTTAGTTTAATCATGTTCATACTTTCAAAATTACACTATAAATTAATCCGAGGCTTAGGTCTGATGATAAAAAACACAATACGTGATGTGTGGATTAGCGAAGTCACAACTTCAAATCTTGTGGCAAAGAAAAACCTCATGTTCAAGTTTAAAAGAGTAAAGAAATCGACCATTATCTCTCGAGTTTCAAACCATACTACTAATGAACGAAGGAAAATAGCAGAAGCAAGGAGATATCATAATCGAAAGGTGTGAACTAGCGGTTAATAAAGTTCGTTATGAATCATGAGATTATAGATATAGTAGTCAATAGTCACTAACGATTCTTTTCATCTATCTTAATGGTGATAGACATGGTTATCTAATATCTGTTATTAACGAAAGATGGGACTAACATTAGGAAAGAAAAAGATAAAAATAAAAAGAGATAGCAATCATTTTGGGGCCTCAGAATCCTAACAACCAACTAATTTTTTCCACTGGTGAAGTTCAAGTTCAGAAACAAGACACTCAAAAATGGCGGCGATGGAGATGAAGGTGAAGATGAAGGAAGCTTTGCCATATATAGGAATGGCGTCAACCCAATTCGCACAAGTTGGTTTAATGATAGTTGGCAAAAAAGCCATGTCCGCCGGAATGACCAATTTCACCTTCGTCTTCTACTCCAACACTCTTGCAGCACTTATTCTCCTCCCTTCTTTCTTCTTCTACAGGTACCTTTTTCGCTTCAATTCGAAAAACCCACAAAAAAGATACCATCTTTAATTGATTTGATTGATTGTGTAGATCAACTCGTCCGCCACTCAATTTCTCACTCATTTCTGAGTTTTTCTTGCTGGGTGTTCTTGGGTATGTGATTTTTTCATCTTTCAATTGGATTATTTGTGATTTTTTTTGCTGTTTATTGAATCAGCAGTTTTTCGTGTTTTTGTAGTTGTTCAGCTCAGCTAACTGGATATACTGGGATTAATTATACTTCTGCTTCGTTTGCCTCAGCAATGCTCAACCTCATCCCAGGTTTTACTTTCATACTTGCCGTCATTTTCAGGTTTCTTTTGCCCCTCTTCTCACTTTTGCTGTTGTTGATTTTAGGGTAGAATGGAGTTTATGAATACTCGTAAACATAATGTGACATTTCATAGCTAGTTAATCATTTAGGATAAAGTGAGAAGTCTAAGTTAAATAGTTTTCAAATATAAAAATATGTCATTCTATTTGGAATAGACTAAAGAGAGAATAATGTCATATAAATTGGAACATAAAAAGTATTGAGTAAGCGAGTTTATTCGATTTCAAGCATATCGTTAAACAGATTTCCTCTGAACTGGAGTTGTCGTAATATGTTTTTTCTACTTGGTGTAGTTATGTTTCGATGTCACAAATGTTGCAGTTAGTAGTGTGATTGTTTCTTTGGTTTCAATCGCTAGTATATTTGTTTTCAAATTCAATTGAATTCTTCATTTCTATCCAATTATAGAGCATGCATGAACAAAAAAAATGTAATGGGGAGATTCTCGGGAAACTCAGGAACCATGGAAGGTTAAGAAAGAATATAAAGATGGTTTCTTTGATCACAAGAGACTGGAAAAGTAACACATGTACACTTTTGTTTTGCTTTATTTTAGGATGGAGAAATTAGATTGTCGAAGTACAAGTACCCTGATTAAATCCATTGGAACCATCGTCTCAATTGCCGGCGCATTCACCGCCACTCTTTACAAGGGACCACAAATTTTGTTGACTTCCTCCTCGAAGCCTCAAAATTATCTTCATTTCCAGGAAACTGACTGGATAATTGGAGGACTATATCTTGTAGTGGATTGTGTAGTGTCTTCGTTATATTTAATTGTACAGGTGTGAGAATAACTCCTTGAAAGTGAATCTTTTTATTAGTTGAGAATCAGCACTACAACTGATATATTTTTCTTTTACAGGCTTCCGTCCTTAAGAAATATCCAGTTGAGCTGATTGTGGTCTTCTTTTACTGCTTCTTTGCATCCATTCTATCAGTAACTGTCTCTCTGTTTATGGACAATAACTCAAATGCTTGGTTGCTACAACCTGGTACAAGATTGTTCGCTGTTCTATACTCAGTAAGTAGGTAAACTGCGTGCATTTACGTTCTGTTTGCTCATATAGTGAGTTTGTGACCATGCTAAGATATACGTAGACGAAGCATTTGTAAGGCTCTGTACGGAATTACTTAACCTGATTCTAGGTCTCCACCTGCTTGGTATCAGAAGTAAATTCTAGCTAATTGTACTTTTTCCTCCACCCAATCCCCTGATCTGAACTTAGCTCAATTTGGTCCTATTAGACCTAGACTTTATCAATTGCAAACTAAGGTACGGTACTTTTATATGTTTCTGCTCTTACTTAATCTCAGTTAAGAGTGTTATGCAAAGGTGGGATCAGATTAGTTACTACACTAGAGCACGGATTTTGTTCTAAAGCATGAATCTCTTAAGAGTTAGAAACAAAACAAAGATAGAGAGGGATAAGCTGGTCCATAATGAGGCTGATATGGACTGATTTTAGTGGCTGTTCTAAGAATGTTCAGGTCAGGAGGTATGTGTTGGACATTCAGTTAGCATGTAATGATAGGAAAGGGAGGAGAAGAAGATATTCGCTAAGTGATCAATAAGTAAATAAATACTTCTAACTTTTTGAAAAGTTTCTTTCTTCATGAATCTTCTTAAAAGTGAAAGAGGGGGGACCTAAATCTTTTGCTGACTAATTGCTTGTACTGTGAAAACATCTTGATGTAATGTGCCTTCTGAACAAACACACCTTTCAATTGACAAACTACATTGAACTATAATATTGACTGTGGTTGGAATATATTTTGTCTCTATGTAACTGTTCCTTTATATGACATTTCTTTCTTCTTTTTTTGTTTGTTCCAAGAAGCATGACATCTTTCTATGTTTGAAGATTCTTTTAGCTTTAAACGTTTCATTTTATTCTCAATGATATGTTCATAGCCATAGAAATATCATGATATGCTTAAGACCATTTGTTCTAAGGGTACTTACGTTCTATGTTGCGCGGACTCTTCATTTTTGATGCCCCACTCGTAACTAAACACATTTCTTTGTTTTACTAAGAAGAAGTCTGGGCTTATCAGTAATTATAAGAAAACTATAATCTTTTGAGTATTGTCAAATGTCAATAGAGAACAATGAATGTATTTTTTCTTATATTTGCCCAGCATTAGGGGTATATCAGTTGCATTGATCAGCATATCTCAAACATTTGACATGTATTTTGCTTTCCTTAGGGAATATTTGGCTCAGCATTTCAAGTTAGTGTGATGTTTTGGTGCATTCGTAGAAAGGGACCTCTCTTTGTTGCTATGTTCCATCCTCTTGGAATTGTAATTGCTGCTGCATTGGGTATAATCTTCTTAGGAGATATTTTCTACCTTGGAAGGTATGTTTATATTTCATTTACAATCTTAAAAATTTGTCAATTGGCAGCAATCCAAATTGAAAAAAAAAGTTTATCATGAACTCTTTTCTCTCTCTCACAAGTGTTGTCAAGTACTGTTGTTTGCATTTGCCTAATCATCACCTTATTGAGTACAGCTTGGTTGGGTCAATTGTAATTGTTGTTGGCTTTTACGCTGTTATGTGGGGAAAAACAAAAGAAGACATGGTGGATGAAGACAAGCTCACAAGAAATATCAATTCAAAGGCCCCACTTTTGGAAATAAAGGATGCAGAGACAAAAATTTAAGCATAAATTATAGGTATGTCTTCGTTTTAGCAGCTAACATTTTTAAGGCAGTAGGGAACACAATTTCTGCATATCTTATGTGTTGTATCTATGTAAAAATATGACACTTGAGCGTAACTCAACCCCAAAAGCAACTCATGAGGGGAGGATTGTCCAACAAACCGCCGGTCCATTCCCCAACCAATGTGGGATTACTACCCATTCTTACACCCTCATTCACTCTTAGGTTCAATTGAAGCGTGGGCTGGGAACCCAAACAGAGATGAACCTGTCATACCATGTAAAGATATTGTACCTAGGCCTAACTCAACCCCAAAAGTTAGTATGAGGGAGATGATTTTCCAAGTCCATATAAGCAAAGCACCAGTCCATTCCCCAATCAATGTAGGATACGGACCCACTCTTAACATATCTCAAGTTACTGGAGTGAGTATCTTACTACAGTGTGCTTCACTTTGAAAGATGGTAAAATGTATGCCTAATCTCCAAGGCCTTTATAACTTATACCGAGCCCAAGACTGTTGTTTCTTTTGTCCATGCAATTTTTTCAATCTATAGGAGATGGAGAAAATGATAAAGTTTGGGCTGTTCAGGGTGTGGTTTACGGGGTTGTGCCTATTACTCCTTTTGCATCTGTTTTCTTTGTATAAAGCTGTAGACAGACCTTCACATTTTGAGTAGGCTCTGATACTTGATAGAGCATACTCCACATGAACTATAAGAAATACTCAAACAGTGGAATATTTGGTGAATGTATTCTGTTTTTAGCTTGTACTCGCCAAGATTCCAGTAAATAACCAATATATAGTGTTAGTTTAGGTGCACCTTGACGACTCAAGGGAGGTGGGAGTTGAATTGGGTTGTACCAAATTTTCATCACTCTTAATATTTGCCTAACTCGACTGTAGAATCTAGTCCTTTGAGAATTCAGTTTAGAACACAAAAACAGTAGAGTTTGTAATAGCAACAATGAGAATTTATGATCTAAATCTGGAGATAGTTCTAGTCCAGTTACAAATTCCAATTTTTTGTTAGAAGCATTTT